GAAACAGTTTTCTTGGCTGGTTATTTCAACCCCCCTCTGTCACGATATCTTGACCTTTCCAACCACACTGCCAAGTAAGGAACAATTTGCTTGTTTTTTTCAATAAGTTTATAGGGTGTCTTCGTTATGAGAAGCACTTATACCCCCACCCCAAATATTTATATTTGCAACTCACACTCCTGCCATGATACCCGCTAAATATTTTATTTTGCAATAAATTTGAATCAATTTGATAATTAGTGATTTCATTATACTATATATTTTGTTTATGTTTACAATCTAATATATCTATTTTTTTCGTGCCACTTTATTATTTCAATCCTTTTGATCCAAATTTTATCAGAGAAAAGTGTAAATACGTTTGTTTTGTTATCTATAGTTGTTTTTCTGACACATTAACAAATCTTGAAATTTAAGTATTGTATACATTCGAAGTAAAAAAAAACCTTTTAAAAGGATTTAAAATATAAAATAGTGTTGATTCTATACGCAATAAATAACAATAATTTTAAAAGCAAAAACAAATGTTTTTAAGAACCGTGTTAATAATCGAAAATGAACAGCATCAACCTTGATACGGTGCGAAACTGAAATTTCGGTAGAAGTGTGCAAAAACAATAAGTTTGAACCCGAAATTATTAAAATTTGACCACAAGGCTCTGAGACACGACCGATCACATACAAATACACATACATACATAAGCACACATGTAGATACATTTTTAAATTATGAACTATTTTCATTCTTAACACTATAAAAAACATTGGGAACTAAATTCCAGAAAAATTTTTTTTCGTCGATACAATAAAATTTCCTTAATGAGTTAGTAAAACTAGTGTATTCATAGTATTTTCCTAATTTTTTCTTATATAAAGGTAATTTGTGATCTTTTGGTGCCGAGTATAGTCAACCATACAATGGTTCTTTCTTGAAAACAAGCCCTTTAAAGTACTCTGTATTATCCATATTAATATACTTTATGTTTCAATTAATAATTAAATTGTTTATCTTTTAAAACTTTTCTCATTGAAAAAGCGTAAGAAATACCCTCAAAAATGTTTGACGGCAACCTACGAGTCTTTGGCCTCGTAAGTACTAATGGCTTCACCCCTGCGTGATTCGCGTGCCAACCCCCTGACAGTTAATAACAATATTTAGTCCGATTTTGTTAGGACTATTAAGTAATTTACGACTATGAAACGTATAGTTTTTATTTTTATTCGATGCAAAAATTTTAACTACTAATTATTCAATCATATTGTGAAATTTACGCCCGTAAGACAGGTTTTGACCAATCAGAAAACGAATAAATAGATGACAATTAAAATTTATAGGTAAGACAGGATGAAATGTTATAACACTAAACACCGAATCATTAACGCTTCTGAAGTTGTATTAGTATACGAAGCCACATAAGTCTCTTTTTATCACAAAACACGCGTTGAAAAAATACTTCTTAATGCCTTATTTTTTAGTATTTATAATGTTGCCCTAATTTCAAACTTTGTATGCACACTTGCATGTAGTTGTATGGAACGATATGTTTTAATTTCATATAACTCAGTGCTGAGTTGCAAAATAATAATAAAATATTTTTCCGCCCTCGGGTGGTTTTGGGAGGCTGGTACTTTCTCGGACGAAAAAGCAGTTTTCCGGAACTCGTTCAAAAAGTCTCCTTTACGAACCTCGTTACGTCCCTCGCCTTCGGCTTGGGCCGCAAACCTCTCGGTTCGCAAACAGAGACTTTTAAAACTCGTAGGAAAACTACTATTTTATCTGATAAAGATTCATTTCTGCGTTATGCATAAACTAATTAATCTTCCCAGTTTTGCCTTTAATGTTATAAGCTTTATTTATAATAAAGCATAAGCTTTGTGATTATTGCTGTTAAATAAATCTCAGACTCTGTGTTTCTTGAGTTACGTATGACCAAAATCAGAAGTTTTTTTTTAAAGAAGACTATGCATTTCAATTAATATATGTAAAAATTTGAAATACAACTTTATGTAAAGTAGAACATGACCCCATGCAATATTTAATTTAAAATTATAACAATGAATTATACGAACATATTATGAACTACACAGGTGGCTCAAAAATGGCATCAAGAAGCAGAAGAAAGAGCAAAAGAAGTAATAGAACAACAGATCAAGGAGCAAAAATGTTCGAGAAGGCCATCAAGATTTGAAGTTATTCCAGCTCCTGACATTTTAAAAATACAAAGACAAAGTGTCAATGATCTATCACTGACATCTGGTAGCGGAATCAACTCAGATGTAAGACGAACTTTTTTAAGGATTACAAAAATGCTAAGGACACTTGTAAATATATTTTTAAGAATACGATAAAATTTTAGCATACATTTCATACGCCTGTATTTGGAAGTCAACCAAAAAAATCGATTCTCAAAAAGACAAATTCATTTACTCTAAAAGGTTTCAGTCCACTTGTAAGTCCAGCTGTAACGCCTTACACGACTGTAACTGGAGCTGAAAGCAGGTAACATAAGTGTTAGTAATTGACGTACAACACTAATTTATTTTTGTGACCTTAGTGTTTAAAACGTTTTCTACACCATTTATGCTATTATTTTTTTTAAAATAATTTAGAGTAAAAATTTATAAGATTGTATAATGGTCATAGTCAAACGTATATAAATGTATAATATTTTTTAGAATAAGACTAGCATTTGAAGCAATTTTTCGAAAATCAGCTACCTTACAAGATGTGGATCCAGATCCAGAATTAAGTTCAGGTTCCATCCATGACAGACAACAGAAAAGTATCGATAAAACTAATCAGCCGATATTAACATCAAGTCCCGTAATGTTCAAAAAAGTTCAACTGGTAAAAAAACAAATTACTTCTTACTACCTCACTAGAATAGTTTTTACGACGCCATCTTGATTCTTACACAGTGCGTCATAAATAAATTAATTTTTTTAATTAAGTGAACATGAATTTTTTAAATAATCGTTATTTATTGCGTAAGCAGAGCAAATCTTAAATAATTGTTAAGAAATTCTTTTTTTTACCCTACTGTGCTGAAAGAAGGAACTCTCCACCCAACAGTGCAATGGTAAACAATAGTATACGCACCACATTCATAGGTTAATAAATGNGCAGTTTTCCGGAACTCGTTCAAAAAGTCTCCTTTACGAACCTCGTTACGTCCCTCGCCTTCGGCTTGGGCCGCAAACCTCTCGGTTCGCAAACAGAGACTTTTAAAACTCGTAGGAAAACTACTATTTTATCTGATAAAGATTCATTTCTGCGTTATGCATAAACTAATTAATCTTCCCAGTTTTGCCTTTAATGTTATAAGCTTTATTTATAATAAAGCATAAGCTTTGTGATTATTGCTGTTAAATAAATCTCAGACTCTGTGTTTCTTGAGTTACGTATGACCAAAATCAGAAGTTTTTTTTTAAAGAAGACTATGCATTTCAATTAATATATGTAAAAATTTGAAATACAACTTTATGTAAAGTAGAACATGACCCCATGCAATATTTAATTTAAAATTATAACAATGAATTATACGAACATATTATGAACTACACAGGTGGCTCAAAAATGGCATCAAGAAGCAGAAGAAAGAGCAAAAGAAGTAATAGAACAACAGATCAAGGAGCAAAAATGTTCGAGAAGGCCATCAAGATTTGAAGTTATTCCAGCTCCTGACATTTTAAAAATACAAAGACAAAGTGTCAATGATCTATCACTGACATCTGGTAGCGGAATCAACTCAGATGTAAGACGAACTTTTTTAAGGATTACAAAAATGCTAAGGACACTTGTAAATATATTTTTAAGAATACGATAAAATTTTAGCATACATTTCATACGCCTGTATTTGGAAGTCAACCAAAAAAATCGATTCTCAAAAAGACAAATTCATTTACTCTAAAAGGTTTCAGTCCACTTGTAAGTCCAGCTGTAACGCCTTACACGACTGTAACTGGAGCTGAAAGCAGGTAACATAAGTGTTAGTAATTGACGTACAACACTAATTTATTTTTGTGACCTTAGTGTTTAAAACGTTTTCTACACCATTTATGCTATTATTTTTTTTAAAATAATTTAGAGTAAAAATTTATAAGATTGTATAATGGTCATAGTCAAACGTATATAAATGTATAATATTTTTTAGAATAAGACTAGCATTTGAAGCAATTTTTCGAAAATCAGCTACCTTACAAGATGTGGATCCAGATCCAGAATTAAGTTCAGGTTCCATCCATGACAGACAACAGAAAAGTATCGATAAAACTAATCAGCCGATATTAACATCAAGTCCCGTAATGTTCAAAAAAGTTCAACTGGTAAAAAAACAAATTACTTCTTACTACCTCACTAGAATAGTTTTTACGACGCCATCTTGATTCTTACACAGTGCGTCATAAATAAATTAATTTTTTTAATTAAGTGAACATGAATTTTTTAAATAATCGTTATTTATTGCGTAAGCAGAGCAAATCTTAAATAATTGTTAAGAAATTCTTTTTTTTACCCTACTGTGCTGAAAGAAGGAACTCTCCACCCAACAGTGCAATGGTAAACAATAGTATACGCACCACATTCATAGGTTAATAAATGTATTATATGAAACTTCAACGTTTGTTCACGTAAAATCTAAGGCATTCTTAACGTCACTCACTAGATGCGTAATGTACTATTTTCTAAACGTCCCAGAAAACTTAACTTTATTGGTAGGTCGTAAAAGAAGTAAATGTAAATATTATAAACCAAGAATAAAAGACTTTAAAAAAAAAGGTGTGGGTCTCGGGACCCCTGAGAGATGTTAAACGTTGAAGAATATGTTATTGAGCTTGGTAGTATTTAATTGTCTGCGATAAAAATAGTAGTTTTTGTCCAGTAAGTGCCATCGTCTTGAGGGCTATTTTGCGGCCCGAGGGACGTAAAGCAGCCACAGAGCAATGGTGCTGGTGCTTATGTGGCAAATTCTATTTTTTCTACCACGTGCACACTAGCCTCTTAAGAACGCGGGAGGTAAAAAAAGTATGTATTTTTTTGACTCTAAACGATTTCCATTTTATGTTTTTATATTAAAAAGACAGTTTATTTACAAATATGTATTTTTATCAGTCAATATTACAGATTCGGAAAAGCGAATCATATTTATTTTTATTTTTCATTTACATATATACAACGAGAACGAGAAAGAACAATAATACACGGCGAAGAGTATATAAAAGAGTAAATATACTACTGCCTTCCTACACATAGGTTCATACATTAGTTTAACAAACTTTCGTGGTGTATTACATTCTCTGTTTTTTTTAAGATACCTGTTTACTGTGCGTACTTGCGCACGTGCACGAATTTCGTTGGCACTCTACTAAAGACGGGTTAAAATAGAGTTTGTATAAGCATAATTGAAAGATCCCGGGAAAACTTTGCATTATGGTCAAATATTGGTATTTTAAAATAATTATGTTTACAAAGAAGACATTTTTTAAAAATCGTGAAAAAATGATACTCATTTTAATAATAATTCATGATTTACTACAAGCGCAAAATATTGAAAAAATCAATAAAAAAGTCCTACCTGTGTGAGTACAATAGAGAGAGAGAGAGAGAGAGTGTGATAGCAGACCATTAATGGCTCTCTCTATCTCACTTACTCTTACAGGGGTACTGCCTAAATGCCTTTTGCTTTTTTTTCTCATTATTTTGCGCTTGTTGGAACAAAATTAAAAGTACTTATTGTTAGAAAGTTCTTCGCTCTTCACGCTGGTATTTTTATTTTTTCTGTTCATCCAAACGTTAAAAGATATAAGCAAAACAGACTTTAAAACACAATTTTACACAATTTCAACATTAATAAACCACTCACCAAAATTATAACTGTTTTTTTTTGTAATGGGTGGACTGAATCATATATAATATAAAAACTGCCCAATCATTGATCAATTTTCTAATCCAGAAGTTTCTTGGTTGGTATCCATGTAATGAGAACAGAAATCAGATCGGCATGCTGCGTAGCGCAATCAGTAAGGTACCTGACTACAAATCCACAGGATGTGGGTTTAATTCTCGGAGGCAGCAAGATTTGAACAATTTTATTTACACACTTATATGTTATGCACACACACACACACACACACACACACACACACACACATATATATATATATATATGTGTGTGTGTGTGTGTGTGTGTGTGTGTGTGTGTGTGTGTNATATATATATATATACCGTATGTATAGCTACAGAGAAGAGTATATATATGACGTATGTGGGATATATAGAACGCATGAACAGTCACACACACACTTTACAAACGAGAGAGGGGTGACAGTAAGCCTGTGGAGAAAGAGACAGAGACCTGAGCCAAGCCGAGCTGCAACCTGAGTTAAACCGGAAATCGTGCCATCGCACGGTCACTTCATCGCGTCGATGATGAAAAACTTTGATAGCAGTATGAGTACATAATGGCGCAGGGACTCCTTGTGCTTACCTCGGTTTGATGCTCACTAGGTGCAAACTCTATTCTTCCTACTAAGGGTGCAGTAGACGTCTAAAGGAAAAAAATTGCCCAAGTCGGGAAAATGTAGTTTTAGAAGCTGATGTAACAAATTAATTAGGAATTGTCTTTAGAGTAACAAATTTTAAAGTTAGTAACTGTTTTGAATATGTATTTTACATTTCTCTAAAATGATTATAATTATACTAACTTTACTGTTCTCGATAGACAACATCTCAAGAAGTGAGTAAGAAAGTTTTACTTATATAATCTAGTTTTCTTTAAAATCTGGTAGTTGACCCTCAACTTTTATCTTAGGAATGAATTCTACTTACAAAATGTTGTGCATTAAAACCCTAAATGTTCAGCTACAATTGTTTATAAGCAAGTTATAAGGGCTTACAAGCAGATGTACGTAAATGAAATGCAATAGTTAACCTACCAATTAGTTTATAAAAAGAAAAGACAAAAACAGTGATCCAACTACAAGTTATAGTCTTCTTAGACTGATATAGTTATCCATACAAATCCACATGCACTATCGTGAAAAGCTAACGGCAAAAATAATTAAAACGAATTCATTTAGCACTAAGGCTGAATCAATAAGTTTATCTTAGTGTCTTGATAAAAATAAAAAACAAATTTACTATGTATTTATAGACTCAACAAGTTATTTCCTGATAATACACTTCTTTAAAAATTTTTTATGTATTGACTAAATAAAAAAGAAATAACAAAATATTTGAAAAAAATGCAGCTATCAGGTCTCAAACTTGGGCTCTTATTGTTACTGCTTAGCAGCTCCACTACTAAGCTGCCCTGTTCTTGGTAGGTCTAACTATAGTATGTATCGATGTAAACCATTTTTATTATAATTAACCTTTCGCAACCACTTCTAACCGTATTTTTACGATCAATGTCTTACGAAAATAGATAAGTTCCAGTAAAATTTTTAGTTTGCATGTATTAGTAGATATTTAAGGCCAATAGAAACATTTAATTTTATGTGCAGTCCTTATTTATGGGGCTTATATTCAGAATATTTTGAAATTCTTTACTATATTGCTACCATTCTTGTTCTGCATTAAGTACATTATATCCACTTGAGGATTAGAAAAACAATTTTTGCCGTATGGAGGGACTTGGTTTTAAATAAATGTGCAATCGAAATACGTTATAGTAGCTAATTAATCAAATATACGTATTTTTAAAAACGTTATCAGTTTATCTTATTCTCCGTACGAACAAATAGAAATCATATAGAAATTATGTCAATAACTCAATAACTTCTTTTAAATACAAGATTGGATTGTATTACAGATAATATTGGTGTAAATGATATCCTGACTTAAAAATC